ACAACCATTGTCCATGCTCCAACTCCAAATTTGTATTTGATCTTCCTCGACGACCATGGTGAACACGAGTAAAATCAAATGAAAATGGAATTTGGTATCATCTATTTCAACCTAAATTGCCTCATAACTTGAGCAGACAAGTGGACCTCGATGACATCCCAAAAAAAAATTGAAGCTCTAACACGCCATATGTCTCGTCCAATGCGATAACAGTCAATACAATTCTCAATTAAGTCGTCAAAATATGATTCCCAAATAAACTACATGAAAAGAAAAAGCAAATGAGTCTCAACTAAAATATACATAAAAATCAAAACAAAATTTATATAACACCGTACTTGATTCTCCGTCATGGAATCAAATGCACTCCTAAAAACTACCAACACATGTTTTAGTAGTGGCGGTCTAACTGGAATGTGCAAACCATCTAGTAACATGTGAAACCCTAGGTAAACGGCCAACATGAAAGATATTTGTGTCCCTTTGTGCTATTACCATTTACCAGAGGTCGGAGGACAGTAATTCTCTCATGCCCAAATCTTTATATATATGTATGTAATATATGTATATATATATATAATATATAATAATTAGGTAATTATATAAGCTAGAAGAAAAATTAATAAATAATTTATGTAGTTATTAAGTATCTTGAAGTTGTGGTAGAAATTCAACTATCTCATTTTGGATACTCTATGAGGCCTTGCAAAAAAAAGCGATACAAACGCACTAAAGTCGCACTACCCCAACTGTAAGACTCAATTGCATTGATGTCCTCAAGCATAAAAAGATACATGAGTTTTGTATGATTATCCATCATCATACAAACAATCATCCAGAACATGTAACCTATAGTTTTTGATTGACCATATCTTGTCTTGCCATGTCAGGCAACAGGGTTGCCCTAGCATGTGCACATTAAATGTAGAGACCTTAAGGCTACTAAGGTTGTGCAAAAACTTAACCAACCGATCAATCAAATCGAAAAAGTGTTATTGGTTTATTGCTATTAGGTTACTGGGTTAACGATTTTTTAATGATTTTGCAGAAAAAAATTATCAGGTTATCAGTTCAATTTGATTTTTTAATATTGGGTTATTGGGTAAACCGTTAACCCGTCAGAGCGTAGTAATTTACTACTTTACCGTACATAAATATTAAATATTAATCTCAATACCTTACTAGTTAGTGCATTTGCCCTTTAGGCTTCAATTCACACTTCATAGTAATTATGATTTCACAACTTCACATTATACAAAATGTCAAAACTTAAAGTAAGAACCCTATTCATCTTAATTTCTCTTTGTGTTACACTTGTATTGTTCTTTTCATCTTATTTATTATTGTTTCAATTTTATGAGCATTTGTAAAGTTACATTATTATCTTGTCACGTCAGATTGTTGGAGAAGTCATATATTTTTTTTATAAACATTTTCTTATTGGTTAAACTAAAAACTAAACCGTTAAGGACCAAAACCGATACAACTGAAAATTGATAAAAAAAAATATCTTATTCATTTGGTTATTGATTTAGTGTATTTGAAATCAAAGATCGATAAATCAAACCGATAATACATAAAATTGAACAAAATCGACCGATGCACACCCCTAGAGGCTACTATGGTTGAAGTTTTGAGAATGTGGAATAAAATCTAAGTCTTTTGACGAATGTTTTGTCAATCTCTTATAGTCGTCATCGGCTCATTACCAAGTATTGGATCACCATTCACAAGTGAGCTAAACAACACCTCCACATCCTGCAAGGTGATCGTTGCCTCGCCCATCTCTAAAGTAAAATGTATGAGTCTCACAATGTCATCTCTCGACTAATAAAGTGATTAAGCTATTGTTAAATATAGGTCAATGACATCTGTAAAATATATAAACACCGTACAATTTGAATAATCTAATCACTTCTAAAACTCGTGGCTAGATGGGATATTTTTATACGAGGTCCCAAGACTTGTCATCACAAGTTCTCATATTTAGAATTATATTAACACATCCATCCCATATATCCTGTGACCTATGTGTGAGTTGTTTAGTTAATACAAACGGTTCAAGTGGACCAGGATCCAACTAGTGTGCATTATTACCAACCATAAAAGTACCTATGAAATGAAGAACATATGAAAGTAAACTTAAATATTAACCTGATGTTAATCCTAGAAGATTTCAAGAAAATTAAAACAAAATTATTAAATAGAAAAACTTTAATGACATAATATACAGACCAAAGGATCAAGCACACAAAAGGCTTTCAAACATCCCAAGGATCAAGCACACAAAAGGCTTCCAAACATCCCAAGGATCAAGCACACAAAAGGCTTTCAAACATCCCAAGGATCAAGCACACAAAGGCTTTCAAACATCCTCTTGAATCTTTTAAACTAGTGTTACCACACCACACCAACTATTCATCAAACACATATCAACTTTCTAGTAAATCCAAAATTAAAAAAAAAAAAAGGAACAAAAGGAGGTAAAGACAGAGTTTAAGAGTGTAGTTAAAATAATATAGTCATAAAAAAATAAGGCCTAAATGTAGAGATAAAACAATTTTGACAATGCAGAATTTTATAAGGATTGAAATATAGCTAATCCTAAATCCAAATGGAGGAGAAAATATATTAAAGGCTGACAACCAATATATAATCGATCTAATGATGGAGTACGTTACTAGAAAATCATAGCTTACATGTTAATTCAGATAATGATGTGTGTGTATGTCACACTTGTGTCTTCACCCTGCTATAACTATGTAGTGAGCAATAGTGCATGTCTAGTCCTTCATTTCTGGTTTGATGATATTGTGCTACTTTCCTATTCTACTGTCTTTTCTTGCTGTGTATTGTACTAATTTCTAGTCAATTAGAATTTGATTTTGTTAATTCGTATTGAATTTTTGTTATTTTCTGAATGAGTACTACACATTTCTTTATCATTGTTAAGAGGGTTTCAAATGAAATGCTAAAGTAGTACCCATGCCACTAACATGTGGAGATGACAATGAAGTTCGAAACAATAAATTGAAATTTATCTTTAGTTGATCGATTGGCAAATTAGACGGACCTAAAGACTAGTTCAAGCAGCAACGATATTTACCCCTGGTGCCACCATAACTGGCTTTAGAATCTCTAGAGTGAGAAAGTTTGTTCCTCTGGTACAACCACAACCCGTAGAAGGCCTGATACTTAATTTAGTCCCAAGAAATCTCAAAGTGGAAATGGCATTTTGAGCCAAAGCATAGTGCTTGACTGCTCTTTCTGCCATTACACCAACTGCTACTGCCAGAAGGTGACTATCTGCAACCAGCTCTTCACCATTAGCTGCAGTGTTTGTCAAAATCATTCCTACTCCTCTAGCTTCTTTTACCACTTGCCCTTCTGAACTCGAGGAAGATTGATTCCTTCTAAACTCGAGCACTGATTCCCCTAGGTATGGATGGCTATAGCTTAAATTGGATGGGCTTTTTTAATCCTGGTCGTCAACGTGTCTCTCTGTTAGTTATAAGGGCAAATCAATGCCAAAATTAACGCAAGGGGTATATTTAGCCCAAAGTATAACAAGGGGTATATTTAAATTATTTCTGAAAGTACAAACATATATTTAGCCCTTTTCCATTTAAAAGGTGGCTTATTTCGGTTAAAAATTCACCATATCCTCCGTCTAAACCCACATCCAGCTATTACAGGTCATCAGACTTATTGGATTGTCAACTTGTTGTAGTTCTAAATTTTGGTTTTTGGTACATGACTATTCCCACTTTATAAATGAACCTTCATCCCAAAATTAAAATCCCCTTACTCAACAAGGAAAACACAACAAGCAAGTTACATAACCTCGTCCCCAATCCCCTCAGCTGCAAAACTCATTCATGTGCCACTTACAAACTAAAACAATGCTTGAGACACCAAGAGAAAGATGCCTGTCTAAGTTCATAACTTCATATATAACTTCCACAATCAGATTTGTAAAGTTTATAGTAATCGTTCCTTGTATCATTTCCTCCAATTGTCCCATACAACCCTTGCTCCTTTTTCTTTTACAAAAAAAGGAGGTTTCTGGTCCAGCTTATTCGCAACTCGATTATCTTATCACATACCTGCATCCTCTTACCGATACAGGTACTAAATAACTTCGTCACCTAACACAAATAGATGTAAGGAGATCACCTTATTTTTCATTTTCTTTTGGCCTCTGCTGGGATCCGAACCCCCTAGTTTCTTCTAGTCTGCATTCAAGCTTTACATTGACAGCTAGACTACAACTTCAGACACCACAACGACCTCTTATCTTACAATGACCAAAGTGAAAAATAGCTTCACAATCAAAATTTAATTTAGGTCTTGCGGGAGTTCTCTACTATAAATTCATTAACTAATAAATACTGTATCTATGAAGTTCGTATTTTGGTTACGACTGATGGTAACTAAATGATCTGCATTTATATTGACTTCAGGATTACAACTAGTTTCAGCTAATAGCCATTTCGAATTCAAGTTGCTTCTATTACACTTCTCCTCAACAAAACCTTAATTTCAAAGAAACTGAGGTGATGGCCTCCTCAAGTTAGAAGCTTTTACCAAAGCACTTCCCATTTTCCTTTGTGGGACACCGAATCTAAATCAATTAAAGAAGTGAAGGCCTCTATAATCAGAGTTTTTTTTTTTTTTTTTTGATGACAAGGGAAACCCGCAGCCGCTACCCTTTGGGTGCGCACAGTCTATAATCAGAGTTCTATATTTACTTTTTTCAATTGGAACCAGTTATGGTTCTTAAGGTGGTATTCCTATTTTCTGAACTATGTAACCTTGGACTCCATAAATACACCTGACTTGGAGGAGTAATAAATAGATTAACAAAAGTAAGAAAGCTAACAGAGTCTGTTAACTCCAAGGTGTCCAATCCCTTTTCCAACTCGATAAAAGAACCTTCTAAAAGGAGCAGAGAGGGTTATTATGCACTTCTGCCAAAAAAAGAGAGGAGATATACAAACCTGCCAGCCTTCCAAGAGTGGTCCACGACCGCATCTTGCTGATTGGAAATTAGATAAATCAACATTGTTTCTTCCAACTATGTAACTCCAATAATCAGTGGCAGCTGAAGCAATATCAATAACTTCCACCTGCCTAACTGCCAGTTGGTCCTCACTCAGGCCATGCACCTATCACATAATTATCTCAAGTCAATACCAAGATACACACAGGAAAGATGGCATTGGAAGTAGTGATATTATTCAAGCATGAAAGACTAGCAGGACTTCCATTTTTAAGGTTATTGGAACCCTTGTTGTGACTCAAGGATCAAGTACATTGAACTTACATTCTCAGAGTATCCATTGTCAGCTTTGTGGATGGTGTCAATGCTCATAAAGAACTTCGAAAAATATGGTGACTGCAAAAAGAAATCAATTGAAAATTTTAATACTGCACATATCAGACTTCCACAATACATAGGTAGTTAGGGACGGTATATGACACTAGTAATTACCTTAACAACTGCATCAAATGGTGATACATGTTCGACAGAAACCAGTAAATAGGTTAGTATGAAGGCAGAAGGAAGACTTGGATACTAACCAAGAAAAGAACATTAATTGCAAGTAAGAACGTAAACCTGATCGACATTTAGGATATGCGTTCCAGGCTTCTTCTTGCATCACAAGGGCATCAGCTGGTGCAAATGTAGTCAACCAAGATGGCGCTTTACTGCAATGATGAGGTGAATCAGGTCTCAAACTATAAGCTTTTTAAATACAAAAAAGACTGCTCAAAAGGCCCTCTTTACAAGTTAAGTCAACCAAACAAAACATTTGTCTAGTAGGTTAAAAATCTCTGGCAGATATATGATGCCTTAAGAATCTAAAGCTACTTTTTAACCTCATAAATTCAATTTTTATGATTTACCCCCTACCCCACCCACACACACAACAATAACCTTCTTATGCCAGAGCAACCATGTCCAAAGTACTTAACTTCTTTTGTGTAAAATCCATCAACTTTAATAATCACAAACCTAATAGGTTTGTGATAGATTTAAAATATCAATAAGATAATAACTGTCTATTAGTACCATCACTGCTTACTCAATCAATTCAAGACGGAATTTCGCTATAATCAAATAGAGCTCATTAAATAAGTTTGAACTCAAGTTACCTCTGCAAGTGGTAAAATTTTGATGTGTACTGCCCCCCTCCAAATTCATCATCACTAAATGGTCTGTTTTGTAAAACCTCCACTCCTTCATCACCTGTGGTGCTTTCCTGTTGCATTTTCATGACCATGTACATCTGAGCTACCTGATACTGCAATTCAAATACTAAATTAATTTATCCAAAAAAAAAAACACTAAGATAAGAATTCAGTTTACTCTAAAAGTTGTGCAGTTTAGTCTACCTCTTCCAATGACAAGGGCATCACAATTCGACTTCAGAGAATCCCCAAGTGACAAAGAAGTCATTTGGTCAAGGAAACACCAACAAAATGGAACATCCTACAAATTAAAGTTCAATATATCCTTTTAACTAAAACTTGACGTAACTGATAAAGTGTGAAAACAAGCTCCTCTACAAGAAATCTCCTGCCTTTTTCTAATCGTTTTGACCATCAGAAAAATTCTGTAAGAACTAAAATTAATAATTCAAAAAATCACTATTAATAGGCATATGATCTAAGTAGGCATAATTATAAACATGCAACAATATAAGAATAGCTAGAATTTCATGGTTAAAAGGATACAATTCCTTAATCTGAACCATTTCTACTATATTGACCGAAGCAAACGTGAATGAAACGTTGCAATTTCAGTGACCCAATAAGTCAGGGAACAGGGGAAGAGAAGAAGTATGAATTTTATATCAACCCACAAATTCAGAGAGAGGATGGGTGATGGTGGTGTTGTGGCAGACGCGTAGAAGAACATTCAAGAAAAGGAGAAGTGCTGAGGAGACACGTTTGACTAGAAGAGGAGAGGCGGTCCTTCTTAAACAACGTGTACTCTTCTGCAGAACTTTGATCTTCCCAATGACATTTTTTGTTTCTAGTGTCATACACATTCCTCTATCCCAAATTATTATCTGGATTTTCATAGGTCTCGTACATCATGCCATATGAAATCATATGATATGAATATGAAATTCAAGTTTTGTAAGTATATATTTTTATAAAGAATAATGCTAAATGATCAAAAAATTTAGTCAGAATTTGGCAAGAAAATTAATAAATCTATAATATCTTTTTTATTTTAAAATAAATTAATCTTTTTTTATTTTTTAGTTAAAAGTTATTAAAGTTAAAAGGGTAAAAATGTTCAAAAAGATAAAATAACATAGTTAAAATATCATTCTAGTTAAATTCTTACCGAATTTTTTGACCAAAAGGATTTTTCCTTTCATAAACATAAAAATATCATAAGTTGAAAAATTATTAAAATTGTCTCAATTCTTTATACAATCTTACCAAATAAACACAAGTTTATAAAATCGCATAGTAAACTGTCACAAAGATATTCCTTAAAAAATACAATATTTATTGATCAAGTTTTGATTCAATTAAAAAAAGTTATACATAAGTTGTGGTGTACTAGTTTTTAGTATAGTCCTCCCACATATATAGTATCGACAATTTTCTCATGTTGAGCTTTCATTTCTCGTTTATATGATTGAGAAAACGAACCAACATTGTTATTTTGAGTCATTTGTTAGTCAATTTGATTGGTAAATATATTTGATAAAAAATAATGAATTTGGTAAATATAAATGGTAAAGTAGAAATTGATTTGAAGTACCAATAATAAATTCTAATGTTAGTAAGAATAATAATTATATGAGATATAAATGATTTGAAAAGTAATAATATGGATTATAAATTTTATTTACAGATGAAATAAATGGTTAGTAGATATATATGTGAGGTTGTTTTTACAAAATATAAACTTGTGAGTCAATTTTTGTCTTTGAAATTTTCAAATCATGATATTTGGAGAATATGAAAATTCATCTCATGGTATGAAATCATGAGATGAAATCAGCATGAAATCGCATGTCCAAACGCTGATTTCATCTCGCGATTTCATATCGCATGTCCAAATGCCTCCGTTTGCCATGCGATATATGAAATCATGAGATAGAGTTGAAATTTTGTTTGGACATGCGATATAGAGTTTTTGTGTCGCATATTTTTCCTCATAATCATAAGAATCTCATAAGTTGTAAAACTACAATAGTCTCAATTATTTATTCAATTTTACCAAATAAACAAAAAATGACATAATGAATTATTACAAGCCATTGTGGCCAGTATTGTTCACTCAATATAGATGAGTTTTTTTTTATTTTATTAAACATTAAAGTAGTGGTATAAATTTGGTTGATAAAAATAATAAATTTGTTGAATATAAATGATCAAGTACGAATTGATTTAAAGTAATAATAAATTTTATGTTGGTGAGAATAATAAATTTTAGGCATAATACATAAACATGACCATTAACTTGCTTCAGCGGACAACTATGTCCTCCAACTTTGAGTATGCACAAGTAGGCACTTAAACTTGTATAAAATTGAATAAGTAGACACATGTGTCCTACATGACTTAATACATGTAGGACGCCACGTAGGACACAAAATCTCCATGTAAGGTGCCATGTAGGTTGGATGTGTCTATTTGTTCAATTTTATACAAGTTTAAGTGTCTACTTGTGCACATCCAAAGTTAAAGGTCATAGTTGCCGGCTGACGCCAAGTTAAAGGTCATGTTTATGTATTATGCCTAAATTTTAAAAAGTAATGATATGATTATAAATTTTATTTACATATAAAATAAATAGCTAGTAGATATAAATGTGAGGTTGTTTTAGCAAAATATAAACTTGTTGGTCATTTTTTGTATTTGAAAAATCTCAAATCATGATATGGAATTCCCAAATCATGATTTTTGGAGTATATGAGATATATCATGAGATGGAATCAGCGTGAAAACACATGTCCAAACGCTGATTTCATATCACGATTTCATATCGTGATATGATATCGCATGACCAAACACCTATATCTCCAACTTTATTATATATTTTACTCTTCAAATATATGTTTTTTTTAGAGAGAACCAACTCCAGTTTAATTCTCAATTTTACTCTCTAAAATAGAATCTTCTTCTATCTCCTCAATATTATATTATTATTTTTATTTCACAATATACGTTTTTCTTTCTTGTTTTACAAATATTCTTTTCAATTTTTTTATTTAATATAAAATTATTATTTTTATTTTAAATTTTTAAATAACATAAATTGTAAGCAAATATTATATAATATACTCCCTCCGTTCACTTGTACTTGTACTTAATCCTAAAATAGATTTTCATTTTTACTTGTTACTTTTAATATATCAAGAAAAGACAATTAGTGTATTCCATGTTTTTACCCTTAGCATTAAATATTATTCTCGATATCATTTTTCAAGACTCAATACTAAGCATTAATTAGTAGGGATAGTGTGGTAAAATACATATATCATTGATTTTTTCCTTAATGGGTGTTGATGAGTCCACAATTTGGACTCATTTAGGGCTTCATTTTTAATAGAATTAGTGTCCTCAAATGCATATTTTGTCTCAATAACAGATGCAAATCCTTAAGTTTCATGTATTTGGAGTTTGAGGCAAAGCATGGACACTACTTGGACAAAAAGGAACAAAACGACTGAAAAGATGAAGAAAGAAGGCCTGAGGATCGCCTAATGCATTCGGTGAGTCGTCGAATGACCTTAACATCGTCTAATGTTCCAGTGTGCTTAGCCCTGAAGGAAAAGATCAAGTTGGCGATAAAAAGGAGCAGTCGGCGTGTCGCCGAACAGTTCTGCGAAGCAGTACTATATCGCCCAATGATCCAGAACATGAAGATGATGAAGGCAAAAGCTGAAAGGCGATGAAGTAGACCAAAGGGCGGATCACCGAGTGCATCAACGATCCCGACTAACTGCGCCAAGTGATCCTTCACAGCACATTTTTTGACAATTATAAATACTAGTTTGAATTTTTATCTTAGTATGCAATTTCACATACAACATTTTATTTTCCAAGTTTTCAAGTAGAGAACATTTTTGCTTAGCTTTTGAAGATTTGAAGACTTCCAATTCCAAGAAATTGGATGTGGGTGTTGAAGATTCTTCGTCCTAGACTCGTTTAAAGTGAATATAAATCATACCCAGTTGATGTTACTTCGATTTGGTATCATTTTTTCCTTTTCTCTATGTCTAGCTAAAACCTCAATTCTTGGGGGTGTGATTCTGTGAATATGGATTAAATTTCTTGTTGGGTTATTGCTTATTGTTAGTCTATTTGTTGTTTAAATGTGATTTCGTTTAGTAGTTGCATTTGAACTTAATGGGATTGTAGTTGCAAATACGATTTCATCTTAGTGTTTTTGGCTTGCTCGAGAGAGAGGTTTTAAAACTAAGACTACTAAATTGATAGCAGGTGGTTACTGGGTCGTCGTGGGTTCAGCTCGAGAGAGTGAATCCTAGGCCTTTTCCCACACATTTAGATCGAGAGAGTGAGTGGGCTAAGGCATAGGCTGTGCTTAAAAGCGGCAACTCGGTGTTCGAGAAAAACCGAGTTAATTTGGGGTAAGTCGCTCGGGAAAGAATTAACCCCCACTAATGCCTAGCCTAGTTACAAATGTTCAGCAATTGACTATCAATAACATTTACCCGATTGTGTAGTTTATCCCATATTCCTATCACATCCCAAGAATCCCGTCTCCCTATATTTGCATATTTTTGTATTTTTGCTGTTTTAGTTGTTAATCAACTACAAACCCCCATTGATAATTGACAATCATGTCAACCCCTTAATTTATTATGTTTTTACTCGATAATGTTTTTAGCTATGGTTAACTCTAGCATATTCGTGCTTAACTCTTAATTCTCAAAAACCGCTTCCTTGGGACTCGACCCCAACCCATGCGGTTGAGTTATATTACTATTGTACGATCGTTGATACTTTGAATTGGAAGTTGTGTCTTGATTACGCAAACATCAAAATGGCGCCGCTGCCGGGGAGTGGTGTTACTTGAGAATTATTAGTAGAGTCGAATTTCGCTTTTGTTAGTCGTAGTCTTACTTACTTAAGTTTTAGTTTTGTTTTTCTCTGTGTTGCATTTGTAAACAGATACTTTGAGCATGGCTGATAGAAATGGTGGCAAATTGGCTGAGACGAACCAAGGAGTCGAGAGGAACTTCATGTTAACTGCACTGGTAACTCAGCTGGACGATTTGGCCACTAAAATATCAGAGATAGAAGTCCAGTGCAAAAGAAAAGGGAGGTACATACCCCCTCATGAGCGGAGAAAGTCTAGAGACAATGAAAACAATCATGTCGAGGATACACTACTAACCATTCTCCAAAAGATCACTGAGCAAGATAGAATGCTGGAAGAGATGAAGGAGAATATTGAAGTGTTAAATCACATGATTGGCTCTCACTCCAGATCTATCCAACTGACCGAAACACTCATGAGTCATGTAGTGCCTCAGCTCCACCCAAATAAACAATTGGGGTTACCTAGTAGCACTAGAGATAACCCCAATAATGGAGTTTGAGTAAGGACTTGCGTTGTGCCACGACGTTAACTAAGGCGCTTCTTGGGAGGCAACCCAAGTTTTATCGTTTTGATTTGGTATTCTAGAATAAATGTGTGTTGATTGTGCAGGTTTGAGTGTGGAAAGTGTTTGAAAGTGCAGGTTGGCAAGCGAATGTTCCAGTTGGTACACCGCCAAAGAGGTTGACGTGCCCGAGTTGATTCGCCGTTTTTCTCAACAAAGTTTTAGCTTGGAGCCTGTAAAACTTGGAGAGTCCAGAAGCAACTTGGCGACTCGCCGACTAGGTCGGCGATCCCGATGTTACCCGCCGCTTAAACCCCCAAGCAACTGAAGTTCCTGTAAAAGTCGGCAGGGTGAATGACCATTCGGCATATTGCCAAGTGGATCGGCGAGTGCGACTAATGTCGCCGAATGGACGCGAAATGGATGGTTATTAAGGGCCAAAAGTTTTAAAGTTTCAAACTCTTCACTTTCCCTCGCTTTCAAACTTCACAAACTCACACCAATT